CAGGATACGAAATTACATTCCGGTTGAAACGACCGGCTTCGAGTTAGAGGTCGCAAAGCGATCTGGCATTCAGGCACTAAATGTCAGACAGAAACGCCTGGCTTCGAATTTGCAGTCATTTAGATTTTTGCAAAATTTCATTTTCCGGATCGTATTCGATGATGCACATGAAAAATATGAGTAATAACGAAATAAAGTTCAAAAACGATGCTCGCAAAATATGCAAAATGTGGCAAAATATTGTGTATGGTTAAAGACATGATCAAATAATCAAGAAGGTTAGCTCAGCTGACTGACGAACAATCATTTCAATAATCTTCGTGATTCTTCGTGTACTACGAAACATCTACAGCGTTTTTGCTTTTGCCATTTTTGATTCTGCATGGGTTCAGTTGTCCCCGGATGAATAATTTTCCTCATCCGTGTATGATGGGTGGCTACGGGACCTAGTTCGACGGTTTTCTTCGGAATTCCTTCGGAGGCTGTCGTGGTAGCTTGTCTCGTAGTTATTAGGCCCCCACCGTGCTGCACTCTGTAAGCTTCCTTCTGTTGGGTTCTGTAATCCACATTCTGTCGTGAGATTTTCATCCGTAGCAACGATGCCGTGAACCTGCCCCGACTGTCAACTTATCAGCAAGCGCCAAGGCAATCACCTAGGTAGTGAGAACTGTCTTGAGCGGCAAGCGCAAAGAACTGGGCATGCTGTTGCAAAGACTGAAATAGTGTCCATTAATGGACACAGTGTCCATCACTGAAAATAGTTTGTCCATCATTGCTGCCAAAGGTGTCCATTTTTGTAAAATTCAAATAAATTATAAAATTTAAATGCGGGTCTATCAATTTTAAATTAAAATTCTCGGTAATTGGGTTTTCTTTGTTCTTGCTGTTTGATCAGTTGAAATAATTCGTTTCGTGCTTATCGAAGCTCATACTTTCTGTACTCGTAGTACAGATACTGTCAGATCACCTTGTCGCTGTTCGCTAACTTGCCCGTCAAGGTAGGGTTGTCATCATGTCGTCACACAATTTCACAATCACGCCGTTTTCCTGCTCACAATCCCATCATGCCGAATAACTGCGTGCGTGATGAAAAAATGTGATGAGTGATGGGACGGTGATGTGATGGGAAGAATTTGTATTGTTAAAATGAAAGGTCAGAATCCGGGTACCGATCCTGAGCGCACTGCGCATCGGCAGTGCATACATTTCTAACAACATTTCTAACAAATTTTGTGGTAGAGCAGTCAAGCTACAGAATCAGAAAATGCGAGGATTTGTACATGAGTTTTGCGAGCCTCACTTGCCCGGAATCGAGATCGTACTTGTTGGAAAGAATGGAGTCTCGCTGGTCACGTTTTTCGACGCAAAGCTGCGGATTTTGTCCACTGTTCTGCACCCGGCATTTAAGATTGAAGCCCTGCACTGTAACCCTTCGGTGGTCAACTACCAAATTATCAGGCAATGGAGCAACGAGCTTTATAAGCAGCTGTTCCCAAACAGTGGGGGAATTTTGTCGGCTTCTATTGCAGCTTATTTGTCGAAATCGACACCGTTTGATGAAGAAATCGCCGCCGGACAAGACATCCGTCCATTCTGGGTGATTAGCGGCACGGTCTATAAAGAGCTCAGCAACCTAGCACTGCTCCTCTATGATGCTTGCCCTCGCTGCTGGACTAGAGCGAATTTGGAGCTCCATGGGTACCATTCTCACGAAGCCGAGAAACCGGCTCGACATTCGAAAGACTAACGACCTTGCTAAAGTAAAGCTCAACATAATACGCGAGCGGCGAATGGATCTGGCTGCGAAAACACATATTGAGCGAAAGGTCACTACAGTATCTTTGCTCCCGGACCCTGTCGTCGTTGCCGAAGAAGATCTGGAGGTTGGCGAAGTATCTGGGAGTCAAACAGACGACGTCACCATATTAATGGATTTTGCAAGCGATTTCGAGGAACTGCTAGACGAGCCCGTCGCCGAAAATGATTGCGAAAACCATCAGATCGCGTTGCGCGCAATTTTTGGGTTTGGTCTGTTGTTGTAGCTTAATAGTCGCGTCAGTTTAATAACTATCTAACATTTTTTTCAAGAGACTTCTTTGCTGGAACCAGGTAGAATAAAAATTTTGCTGGGAAAAATATGTCGGAAATTAATTAGTAAATTAGTAATCTATCCCACCAATCACATCACTTCCTGTTCACATTCCCTTCCCATCCCACCGCCAAAAACTTGGTGCGATGACAACCCTATAGAGAAGTGTATTTAATAAAGAAGTGTATGTAGCGAGAGGTTTTACTGTACGCGTTTATTGGTTTACTGGTTCCTGGTTACTGGTTTGTTTTGGTTACTGGTTTTTTTTGGTTACTGGTTTGGTTTACTGGTTACTGGTTTGTTTACTCGTTTTAGTGTCGTATACGAGGACATTTGGATGCTGTGAACATACCCTGCACGATTAGGCTGCGATGAACAGCTGGTTAGCCGTAGCTCGCAACGCTACTGATATCACAGTCTGAATGCAAACGGCTATAAATTTCTTCGGCTGTTCATCGCAGCCTAATCGTGCAGGGTATGTTTACAGCACCCAAATGTCCTCGTATATATATATTCTATACTAGAAAAATGCACTTTTGCGTGCATTGACAGACCGGAGCGTAACTTAAGAAAATGTCCGCTGCAGTGACGGCACAGTTCGCACAAGTACAGAATATCGTGGGCGTACGTAAAGAAATTATTTTTCTTTTAGTGCGAACTGCCAAATTTGCTGGTAGCTGAATGTACTTAAGAAATAACGTTTGGAAGAAACGTTCAAAAAGGCTCAAAATCTAAGTTTGCGGTAGAACTTCAGGGTATAATGAATGAATTTCATTATACACTGAAGTGTATCTTCAGTGTATGAATTTCAGTGTATAATTACGTTTTAATAACGGAAATGACCTGGTACGTTTCACCAAATACGGGTACATGAACGAAAACTTTTGCTCTCCTGCACTCCTAAAAGCTTATTTGTATCGTTTTATTGTCTTCGGTAGCCAAATGATCTGTTTACTACGACGTGGAAACCGTTTGTGCGCAAAGCATTCGGTTGGGGAGTTATGACTAAAATAAAATTTTGAAGATTTCTGAAGCAAGAAGGTGAACCAAAAGCCTCATTATAGACCGATCTATAGCCTCATTATAGACCGTATAAACAGGTAGGCCGTACAGATGAGAAACAATACGTAGGCAGACGGAAAATCAGTTCGAATGTTGGAACGGTTTGCATTTTATTATTTCAGTTAAGCATAGCCCAGGGCAGCCAAGGGTGGAAGAAATGCCTGTTAGTACTATGTCAATGCACTTGCTTTGACATCTCCAGGTTGGCTCTCGACTTGTCTTGTGTAGCGCGCAACCCGTGCAGGTTCGGCGATTTTCGAAAGTGTTCAATTTCATCTAATCTACTCAAATTATAACTCAAAAAATGCAAAAAAAAATCTAAGAATGAAACGGTTTGCTGAAAAGTTTACAAGGAAAACGTTTCCGCGGAAAGAAGATATTGACGATTGAAGCTTTTTGCGTTTAACATAGCCGTCTATGGAGTGGTTTGCCGTAGACTTCTGTGTTAAACGCAAAAAGCTTACTTAAATCGTTAATTTCTCTTTTCCGCAAAAATTTTTACTTCAAAAGTTTTTATTTCCATTTTTAGATTTTTTTTCTGAAACTTTTATGTTATTACATAAGCGGATTGGAAGAAATCGAACACTTTCAGAGAACACGGATCCTGCAGGGGTTTCGCGCTACTTTTCACGGTACGTAAAGCGCACCACGTCAGCACCAGAGATGCCAAACAAGTGCGGTGACATATCGTAATAGGCATCTGAGGAAGGGTGTGCAGTTTTTGCAAAGATTAAGTATCATCGGTCAGTTGTCAACAAATAAATATTTATTTAACCATTGCAAGACTGCCCTACAAGGGCTGTAAATCAACCAAAAAATTAACCGAATCGAGTGCGAAAGAGCGTGACCAGTCTTCCAATCTGGGGCCTAAATGAACAAAAAAGATCAACAGACAGCAAATGCAGGCCTGTCATATTCAGTCATACGTCTGAGCCGTTGCAAAGATCCAGGGAAGACGCGCGAAAGTAAACACGTGTTGTAGTTTTGCGCGCCTGTAAGTCACAAGCGCGCATTAAATGCTGTAACCGACCTAAACTTCCGGCTGACCAAGATGTCCGGCGGGCGTTTTGGTCATTAAACCGATCAAGCGTTTAGGAGCCGATAAAAACGTTTGCCGTAAATTTTGCCAATCTCAGTCCGTGGTGGCGGTCCAAAACTGGTCGGATCCACTAACCACTAAGCGGAAACTGGTCGGATCCACCGTGTATTTCGGCAGCCATGTAGCAGTCGATCGGTCTATCTTCTCAAGTGCTAACACATAGTACATACAGAGTACTGTCAGAGTACTTACCTATTTCTTCACGCAAAATCGCAACTGTTTAGTGGCCAACGTTTGCGGGAAGTGAAGGTGTTGGGAATTGCGGTTATACCGCGGAATTGCGGTTATTATTTGTATGCGGTTGGGGGTAGAAAGATGGGATGGAAATAAGTTACAAATAAGGCGGGTGATAATTTTATCTTCTTCTGTCCAGGAACACGCGAAACAGCACCGTTTAGGCACCAAAAAATTACTTTTTTTCGTGCTCCGCGCGATTCTAAAAACAGCAGTAAGTCGGTTTAATAAAAGCCGGAAACTGGGTTTGCCCATTGCGCTATCTTGTACGCGTACGGGTTGGCTGACTGCTGTCCTCATGCAGTTCAACACATTTGCGCCCATCATTAAACTCAACACACTGTTAGCTGCACAAATTAGCGGTTAATTTCAGAAGAAAGGTGACAATGAGACCGCAAAGGTGAGATGGCCGAAAGTTGAACTAACTGGGGATTACAGCGCAATTTGAAGCAACTTCTATCTTCTGTTTACCGGCTTCTTTCCTTATGTCACGAAGTAGGGAATAAATAGTAATATTTATTTGGTACGTCGCTCATCCGGCTGCAGCCAATATCTCGGTCGGATCTGGTTCAGGTGTCTGCGCCAGATGGCGCCTTCGACAGACACTTCCCATATCCGGGTGCCTTCACGTCTGACCAGCCGGCCGCTGGTCCAGTCGACAGTTCGGTTGAGACGGTAATCGCGAACCATTACCAAGTCGCCAGGCGTAAAACTCTTCCGCTTGGTGCGCTTGTCGAAATTGTGCTGGTATCGTTGGCGGTTTCTCTCCGTATGTGTGAACATAACAGGGGACAACAGGTCGAGCTGAGTACGGAACTTTCTACCCAGGAACAACTCCGCTGGCGACTTTCCGGTTGTTGCATGCGGCGCGCCTCGGTATCTCCAGAGGAACTGCCGCAGTGCTTCGGACAGGTTCTTCCGGTCAGCCATGAGTTTCGCAACTCCGTCCTTGATGGTCTGGACATACCGCTCCGCCTGTCCATTCGATTGTGGGTGTCCCGGTGGTGTCCTGAGATGCTTTATCCCGTGTTCCGCACAGAAGTTTGCGAACTCCTGTGACGTAAACTGGGTGCCGTTGTCCGTAACGATTTCGGTACAAGCGCCGTACCGACTGAACAGGTTGCGCAAAGTTTCCAACACGCCATCGGATGTAGCGTGTTTCATTTGCGCCACTTCCGGCCATTTGGACATGGCATCGACCACCAGCAGCAGCATTGTGCCGTGGTATGGACCGGCAAAATCCATGTGCAGCCTCATCCATGGGCTTTCGGGCACTTCCCGCTGCGAGAGCGGTGCTTTGGCCGTTTCCTTAGCGCGTTCCGAGCAGATCCGGCACTCACGAGACATGTGCTCGATGTCTTTATCCATCTGTGGCCACCAGCAATAGGCGCGTGCCTCGCCTTTCATCTTACCGGCTCCCATGTGCGCTTCATGCAGGTAGTCCAGTATCTGCCGACGCTGCTTGACCGGAATTACCGTGCGCGATCCCCAGCAAATGCAGTTGTTGGTCAGCACCAATTCATTCTCTAGTCGTTTGTAGGGACGCAACCGCTCATCAACCGTGGCCGGCCATCCATGCAGGATGTAACCGTGGACCGTGGACAGATCCTGGTCTTCGGCGGTTGCTTTGGCAATGGCTTCTGCTTTGACAGGCAAGCGTGACACGTTGTTTTCGTGTACCGCATTTACCACTTTGTCCATTCCCAGCCCGCTCAGTCCATCCAGTTCGGTCGAATGGAGTGGCAGGCGACTCAGGCCGTCGGCTTGGCCGAAATCCTCGGTGCGCCGGTACTCGATTGAGAAGGAGTAGCCCATGAGAAGTAGTGCCCATCGCTGGAGTCGGTTGGCTGTCACGACCGGAACTCCTTTATTGCTTCCGAAGACACTCAGCAGCGGCTTGTGGTCCGTGCACAACGTGAATTCGCGACCAGCAATATACTGGTGAAATTTGCGGCAGCCGAAAACAAGGGCAAGTGCCTCCTTCTCTATTTGCCCGTAGTTCTTCTCAGCTGCGGTGAGTGTCCTTGATGCGTGCGCAATCGGTCGTTCCGTGCCGTCCGGGAACCGATGACACAGCACGGCGCCCACACCGTACTGCGAGGCGTCCGCTGCCAGGACAAGAGGCATTTCTGGATCATAATGCACCAAAAACGTTGCCCGTACTATTTCTTCTTTGATGGCCAGAAACTGTGACTCGCATTCTTTGGACCATGACCACTGCACTCCCGCTTTCAGCAGCTGGTGAAATGGACTGCATTTCGTCGAAAGGTCACGCACGTACTTGCCGTAGTGGTTAACCAGCCCGAGAAATGCACGTAACTGACTCACGTTGGCCGGGCGGTCCATGTCCAAAAGCGCCTTCACTCGGTCGCGTGAGATGTGCCGGCCTCGGCTGTCCACCGCGAACCCGAGGTATTCTACCGAGTCCTGGAGGAACTGACACTTGGAGCGCTTCAGCCTGAGTCCGTGTTCCTCGAGGCGTTGTAGGACCCGCTCCAGGTTCCGGAGGTGCTCTTCATCAGTCGCACCTGTGACGATGATGTCGTCCAGATAGATGGCGACGCCTTCGCACCCCTGGAGGATCCGTTCCATGATTTGTTGGAAGATGCTCGGGCCGCTGGCTACACCAAACGGCAGGCGGTTGTACTGGAACAACCCCTTGTGGGTGTTGATCACCACCAGCGCCTTGCTTTCTTCGTCAAGCTCCACTTGCGCATAGGCCTCGGCCAGGTCGAGCGTGCTAAACTTCTGACCGCCGTTGAGCTTTGCAAACAGCTCGTCGGGCGTCGGGAGGGGATACTGTTGCACATCCAGTGCGTCATTAAGCCCCGTGCTCAAATCCGCGCACGTCCGGATGTCCCCAGCACGCTTCAGCGCTGCGACGATCGGTGCTGCCCACTTTGCATGCTCCACTGGTGTGAGGATCCCCTTCTCTACCAGTCGGTCAATGTCGCGTTCCACGGCCTCCCGGAAGGCGAACGGAACAAGTCGCGCCTTGCGGAATACCGGCGTGGCACCTGGCTTTAGGTGCAGATGGGCTTTATAGTGCTTGCACTGGCCCAGTTCCTCGCGAAAGACAGCACTGTGCTTGGCAAGGATCTGTTCCAGCTGGACGTTTCCCGAGACAGCACACACCGCTGGGATTTGGAGGTCACGCAAACTCAGCTGACTTAAATTCAACGCGTGTATCCAATCTCGTCCAAGTACATTTCCACCCGTTGCTACCACAATCACCGGCAGCGTCTTCCGCGTTCTCGCGTGGGCCACTTCCACCATCGCTGTGCCGATGACCTTTAAAGTATGGCCAGTGAAACTCTTCAGTGGATTGGTGTACGGTGATAATTTTGGAGAGCCGATCGATCTCCAGGTTTCCGAGGCGACAATGGTGACGCCGGAGCCAGTATCCAGCACTGGTGACACCGGTACACCATTTATTTTCACCGGTACGTGAATGGCGCGCCCGCTGGTGGCATCGACAGAGAGCACGTCGAACTCTTCCTCCACCAAAAACGTTCGGCGCCCATCGCGTCCCTGTCGACCGCTGGAGCTCTGTACGCTCCGGCAGACCTTCGCTATATGGCCGCGCTTTTTGCACTTTCTGCACTCCGCATCTTTCGCCCAGCAGTCGCTTCGTGCGTGCTGCGTGGATCCGCAGCCGTCACAGGCTGCACCCTTGCCGCCTTCTGCGCCAGCAGGCTTGCGTGCACCACCAAGGTCACGGCCTCGTTGTCCGCCACGAGCGCCGTCACGCCTTCTGTAGCCATTACCCGCTGGGTTTCGCTTCCCGCTTTCCACGCGCGCCACATCGACAGTGGTTTGACCCTTTCTGGTGCTACGCCGGAGCTCGTACTTCTCCGCAATATCCAGCGCTTCCTCCAACGTGGAGTACGTTTTTGACTGGAGATGCTCCCGTACAGCGTCGCTGGCGAGACCATTAAGAAAGGTCGCCGACATGTTCTTTTCAAGAACATCGGCTGGAAAACCACACGGAAAGGCTTTGCGGCGGAGCTTATTGGAATAATCCAACAGGGATTCACCCTGTTCTTGTTTGAGCTTAAAATAATTGGCCCACTCGGTGGCAGCGTTGGTCTTCTTCACGAAGGCGTGTTCAAGTTTGTCTACAATTTGCGCTGTGGTGAAATCGTCCGGGTTCGCCGGCAAACACATAGAGAAAAGCATTTCTCCAGCCTCGACGCCGAGGGAATCGGAAAGTAGACATTTCTGGTCTTCGCCATCCGTGATTTTGTGTAGTTTGACGTAATTCCTATACTGGAATTGCCACCAGCGCCAGGTCATTTTGGAAGGCTCAAATTTAATCAGGCCGGAGGCGTCCTTTTCTTTCGCTGCACTCGCGGCGGCGGTGGTGTTGGTGGTTGAGGCGGGTATTGATGGCGTCATTTATAAGGGAGAAGGGAGTATGACCGTGCGTGAGTTCGAAATACTTCACGCCAGTTTGTCACGAAGTAGGGAATAAATAGTAATATTTATTTGGTACGCGCGCGCTGCTCTACTGACTGAATCGATCAACAATATCTTACAGCATGGCAGTCGTTGCTAGGTAAAAAGGTCATGCAATACTGCACGGCATCACACCTTATCTCCATCCAGCTCCCAGGCTGGGAGTCCCAGCCTCCCTATAACACAGCTTGCAAAAAAGAAATATCTGTAGTATTTTTATCGAATTTGTGGCAGTTTACCCCGTCAATCTGTCCGTCGGCTTCGCGCGAATTGACCCGATCGAATTTAACAGATGTGTATAAAGATGTCGTTTCCCAAACAACTTCTACAAAACGTCATCCCGAAACAGCAATTTAGAAATTCATCAAAATTTAAGTATTTTAATTCGTACAAAAGGCCAAGCATTTTTAGACTGCGCCCCCTGGGGGGGCGTCCATCACTGATTTTCCACTATTTCAGTCCCTGTGCTGTTGGCACTCCACATTTCCAAGCCAAGCACACTGTTCACCTCCGAATGCAGCAGGGACCTCAGCCCCTCCTTTTCTCCTAGCTAGGAGTAAGATAAAGCGGCGTATACCGAAAGCAGCACGCGCCTCCGTAGCGATAGCCTTGACAAAGCTAATGCGGCGCGCCGTATCTGCCAATGATTCCTCTTCGTAGCCGAAGCTGCTGTCCGCCCCCTCTGCGATCCTCTCCCTTCCAGGCGGTAACAAAAAATCACGAAAAACCCCAATTACCACCCACATTCGCGACCGGATCGCCAGATTCGAGAACGGGGAACTCGACAGCAAAAAACCTGAAGCCCCTGGCAAACCCCGACGCGCTACCCCTGATGACGAGATTACCCGTGGCGTCGGTATTCAAATTGACGACTTAAACGTCAGCGGAGCGGTACGCACACTGCTTTCGTCCGACTCTGTAGCAGACGTGACTCCGAATGTGATAGAGTCCATGAAGATCCATCCAGCAGATCCCTTACCCACGCTCCCGACGGATCCTCCAGATTCTACTTTTGTCCCACTTACCCCCGTTGAAATGTTGTCTGTGTTAGAAGCGATGCACGTGGCAGCGCATGAGGTTTAGATTACCTGCGCCCACAACATTTTTTGGACCTGATCGGCGCAAGACTGGATGATGATGCGTCTGATCTGTGTTATACCCTGACGGACCTGCTCAACCTTATCCTTAGCGGGTAAAGTACCTCAGGAAGTTATTCCCCTGCTCTGCGGCGCTCGACTCGTCGCTCTACGGAAACGGAGGCCTGCGTCTAATTGCCGTCGGAAATGTATACCGCCGCCAAGGCGGTGGGTATGAAAATTCGGCCAGTTACATCGGAGATTTTCCAACCACACCAACTTGGTTCCGGAGTAAAGAAAAGAGTGGAAGGAATTATTCACGCAGCCTGATACTTTCTTCTTCAATGCATCAGTGGTGTTAAAGCTCTTCTGAATATTGATTTCAACAATGCTTTCAACTGCGTGTCACGCGAGGAAGTATTGCGAATAGCAGCCGACGTCATCCCGGAATATTACACCTTCATTAAAATGTGTTGCGGCGTACATTCTTTACTTTTTCTGGGAGAAACAATTATTTCCTCTCAGTCTGGCGTGCAGCAACGTGATCCGCTTGGGCCAGGTATGTTTTGCTTGGTACTGCAATTCATTGTCATTAAACTGAACGCTTACCCGAACGCGTGGTATATGGATGAACAGGACACTAGGAGGAACACCATCGGAAGTGATCCGTAACTTCCAGCTGTTGATTGCGAAAGCCAAAAAGATCGGTTCGGAAGTCAACATTGCAAAGTGCGAAGTGTTCTTATGCGGGGGCAAAGAAGTACAGCGTGCAGCGGCCGCTACCAACTTCACCAGCTTATTCCCAGGAACAGCTGTAGTAACAGCTGATAAGCTAAATTTGCTTGGTTCCCCTGGTCTACCAGCCACCGTAACCCCGATAACAAATAAGAAGATCGACCAGTTGGGATCAGTGTGTGGTCGCTTACAGCTTATCCCTATACACCAAGTGTTGTCAGATTTGTGTCGATTTACTCTGTTAAAAAGGCCGTAAGAATAGCCTGTTTGCACGTGTTGGTTCTTATGCTCATGAGTCGGATAAAATGTTTACTCCTGAAAACTGGCCTCCTAATATTGGGGTGCGCGAGTGGTTGTTCGCCCCCAAGGATGCTCAGTGATTCCTAATCCCTAATTACGCATTTTTCCCTCATTAATTTCAGTTCGATTTGACCAATAAAATTATATCAGTGTTGTTTCTGTTGAAGAACTGCCTTGGAATGCAAAACATTTTGCACATATTGCGCACCTCCGTCGTATGCATGTTACCACAAGAGTAGTACCGTCACGCGCGCCTGGGAGTTAGAAGCAGACACTGAAGAACTTCCGGTGGAAGCTTTCCGACACGTCCAGAAAGCCTGGGACACTCCCACGATACTACAGATATTTTCAAGGCCGACCGCACAACGGACTGCACAGAACGAAGTCGCGCATCTCACGGCGGTATTAGTCCCGGAAGGCGTGTGGATCCATGCATTACCGGCAGCTTGCCTCGGTATGTAATCTGTTAGATGACAAAGCATTTCGCATAAGTTTTGCGTTGCGTTAGAGAGCACCGATCGTCACTCCAAACGTATGCGTTTGTGGTAGGCTGGTCGACGAGTTCGGCCGGCACGGACTTCGCTGCAAGCGGTCTGCCGGAAGATTACCACGACACGACGGTATCAGCGCAGAATTCACCCGGGGCATGAAATCAGCTGGCTTTCCTTCGAGAATGGAATCAAAAGGTTATTCCTTGAAAGACAAGAGACCGCATGTGATCATCCTTTTTTCCTTGGAAGCGCGGAAAACCGCTGGCAGTGGATGTTACTTGCGTGGACACGCTGGCGGCCTCGTTTATCGACCGCACTTCCATGAATGCCGGCGCAGTAGCCCAGTTTGCGGAAAGGGCGAAATTAGCGAAACACGCTTGTATGCAACAAGATATGATTCCGTTGCTGCAGCTTTCAAAATTTACGGACCTTGTGGAGATGGAACTAAAAAGCTAGTGGAAATGGTTGGAAACGGTATAGCAACTTTAACTGGCCAAAAGCGGGCGAAAGAGTTTTTTAAACAGCGAATATCTATGCAAATACAACGGACAAACGCGATTTGTGTAATGGGTACGATCCCCGATCAGGATAGCGTAGAGGAAGTGTTTCTTTTGTAAATGCTGTTTGTTCTGGTGCATAGTTTGTATTCGTACCATGATACTTATTAAAGGTAAATACTTATTAAAGGTACTTATTAAATTTTGTTGCTTTGAATTATTGTTTTGAAACTGTGATGTTACCGCATTTTGTGAAATAAAAACTTGTATTAAAGGTTATATTGTCTCTTTAAGAAAAAGTTAGAGAAAGGCGAAGTGAGGCAAAGCGAAATGGCGGTTAACACTTTCTTACCATAGCGTTAAATTCATCCGATAATAGATAGTTAAGGTATGGGTACGGTGTTTCAGCGAAAAACTTCTAATATAAGGACGTTCTTTAGATACTATCATACTGGTACGGCGATAGTGTGGTACTACAGCGTAGGACGAAATGGTCGCATACCCAACATATCCACATTCAGTACGAATGCAGTGCAGTGCACTGTACGACTGAGTTCAAAATATCCGGTTCGTACAAGTGCACTGCACCGCATGCGTACAGAATGCTGGGTATGGGGCTATGCGACCATTTCGTCCTACCTTGTACATTACATTCCTACGATTACAAACTAACTATTACCACGGGGGCAGCAAATAGCGCAATATTATAGAGAAAAGTCGAAATTGCACGGACCGTTTAATAAAAAAGTGGAAAATTAGCTTGTGGTCATAGGGTCAAGGAAGAAACGTGAGGTGGTCAAATATTAGTTTCCGTCCAAAAGGGTATTGCCAAGCGCGGAGCGCGAGGCATACCTTGTATTGTACGTATAAGGTAATAATTGTATGTTATAATTATAATATCAGGGCATCGTATAATTCGTACTGTTGCTGCTTATTTATTGTTTTGACTTGAAAAAACGAGGCCATCAATCAGGAACCTTCTTTTTATACGGCATAACTTGGCTTTGGGCTTTTTTAGATATTGACTGTTGAATATTTTGACAACTACAGTGGGACGATTATAGTAATGCTGATGACTTGACTATTTTTTTCGCTACTCACAGGGAAAATGTTTTTGCACCTGCTTTAGCCAACAATTATGCTTAGGCAGATAAGGAACTACAAAAGCTTCCGTCAAATTTCAAACCGATTTTGCACAAAAATCAGTTCGAAGTTTAAACCCAGCCGTGCGCAGCTATGCCAGTCTTTCGCAGCTTAAGGAAAGTACTGTAAGTGTCCTTCAAAAACAGGTCATAGGATTGTCCCCAATAAGGCCACATTGGTGTAACATTGACATGATGCTCGAAGTAAAACTCATCTATCAAACCACTCAGAGTTTCGTTATTCATAATTTGCTCCACCAAAGCGTTCTCAATGTCGGGATTGTCGATATCAAGTTTCACAACTACAAAATCTTCAGACTCCGCAGTATTGGATAAAACTGTCCAAGGGTTCCTTCCGTCTTCTACTTTTGCCGTAATGGGGAAATTGTACCAATGATATTTGTGATAGTACTGCTGCGGAATCACTTTGAACACATCCAAAGCGTTCATAGCCAGAGCTTCCCAAGCAAAAATTGAGTCGAACAATATGCCACGCTTAGCATAATGTTCGATTATCCATTGCTGGCTGTTCCCACCTACGATTAAACAAATAATTCAAAAATTTACCAGCCACCATTTTGAACCTCGATAGATGTTTTACTTAAGATTGGAAGTCGTTTAAAACAATTGTCCAATTCAAAATAGACCGGAAATTTAGGAAATCCTAGCAATTGTGAGAATTCTGCAAAAGCTGAGTAACGCACGAGATTAGATAAGCGCTCATAACTGGTCCATATTGCGATGAGGTGTCTTTCGCACGTTGGTATCATCGCCCCAAATATTTAGAAATGTTGCTCTAGAAAAAGCTACTCGAGAGTAGCTTATTCGAGCGTCAAAGTCGCCAATTTGGATTATTCTCATGCAAACTAATGTGCACACATTTTAATCCTTACGTTTCACTGCGATGTGCCGTAATCGTACACCTCAATAATTATTCATTAATAAGTACTGCTAACGCCTATCGGGTATCGTCTACACTGCTACGTGCACAATCTTGATAACTAATTAATAAGATTATAATTAGTGTTAATTGCTCATCCAAACACATTCTGGAAGTCTAAACCAAAACGAGCGCGTAGGGCCTATAAATCTCTAACGTAACTTATAAGTTACCACGACCTGTTAAAATGTCTAATTAAAATTAAATAATTATTAACGGGTTCATTAGAATTAAAAATTTTGCGGATAGATGGAGTACAGAGTATTGATTAATTAGCTGACCGGCTGGCGTTTATTAACTTGCAACTGGTAGCGTTAATTAACTGTTTTAAATTATTCGTTAATCTTGGGACCTTTTTTAGTTAATTTGAAGCACTGAATTCGGTAGGCAAAACATATATAGGCTTCTGTAAGGTGCAAACTGCAAAGTAAAGTTACAGACTGGAATGAAAACACACCGTAAAACAAAATGTCGCTCGTTTTTGCGCTCCCAAAATAGCGCGCTCGATGCACATTTGTGATGCATCATTGCCGTGCAGTTATTTGATGTTTGTTAAGGTTCAAAGTTTGATTTTTCTTAAGCTTGTGTCACGGATTTCCTTCGCTGAAATCTACATAACTGAATTTTCAGCCTAACTAATAATCTTTCTGTTCGCATTCCCCTTATAAGCCATTCATGGCTAAAAAAAGCGGATCCTTATACGATTGACCTTTGATAAACCCTTAATACTATTTATTTATGTAAGAACCACGGGTTTTGACAAGAAGCGAGGACGGCTATAGTGCTGCTAATGACATAGCGGACCGCGGGGAACACACTACGCAAAATTTTTGACCATAGACTTATGGTTAAGCTGTTGCATCAGTGAACAGAATATCAAGGAAGCGAGCGGAGTGAATTTAAGTTTTATAGATACGTTTGAAGTTTTTTGATAACCCAGAGGCATTAAACCTGAATCTATGGTTTCTGCCCAGAGTTTTTGCCGCTTACCAGTAAAACCAAGATAGTGCCATATTCCTCAAAAATTGATATCAGTATCACTGGGTAGAGTAAAATCCATACTATTTAAATAAGCTTTTTGTTTTCCGGTAAGTATTACCAGTTCTTTGTAAAAGTTATGTAAAGTTAGTATGGGAAAACGTTCGGTGACGTCTTGCCGCGCACATCAGAAATGCCGCCTATCGCGCATCTGAGATACCGATCTTCATTCGGATCTGGAGCGCTGGCCTGCCTGTGCGGCAGCTATGTAAGCGATAAAAAAAACTTGTTATTCGCTCCAATTTTCGGTTTGCATAGAGCGCCGACAAATCTCTCTTATTTTTATACGTTTTAAAGTCTAGAAATCTTTGAATTGCAGTTTTTCTGCTTCTACGAACCAAAAACAAAAATTATGCCGTTCAGTGCTCAGAAGATACAGCTCACTTCACTTCAGCTCGCACTGAATCCGCATATGATCTGCCAACTGGTAACCATGCGATGCAGCATATCCGCGATCAGCGTTAGAGAAGATCGGTATCTCCGATGCGCGGCATTTCTGATGTGCGCGGCTAGACGTCACCGAACGTTTTCCCATACTGACTTTACACAACGTTTACAAAAATTGGTAATACTTACCGGAAAACAAAAAATTTATTTAAATAGTATAGATTTTATTCTATCCAGTGATACTGACATCAATTTTTGATGAATATGGCACTATCCTGGTTTTACTGGTTAGGTACTTAAAGTCAACACGCCGAACCGAAGAACATCGCTAAAACGGGTTATCCGAGTTGGGAGTCGTTTGGTGTCTGAGGTCACCTCACAGTCTGCTTCCTCAACTTATACGTGTAACGCTCAGTCCAATTCATATTTCGCTCATGGAAAAGTTAATATTTTTTATCGAATTTATAACGAACACAGGGAAGATTAAATTTTCAGGCGGCCTGAAACCAGGGATTTAAAACAGTAAAAATGTTATAATACACACTCCCCCCGCATACCCCGGGGACCGCGTAGGGTCTAATACATCTTGTAAAGTTGCTAACTTGTCAGTAACTTGTTTGCTTCGCAACTACTACGGATGCGTATGCCTCATAAACTTAAGAAGATTTTCGCGTGAAGCCGACAAGGTGCTTTCCTAAAATAACGACTGAAATTTTATTTTGAGACGGTTTTGGTGCCGCGCCTCGCGTTTTTAGGACGATAGTAGATCGACGAGGCTAGAAAATCTCGAACCCTTGTACATCCTGTATTACAAGCAAACAAATACAATATATGTAAATCTTCACCTGTTCACGTAAAATGAACCAGTTACTGCTGCTAATGCATGTTTTTTGAGGCCTGTCTTTTGCCAGAGGTGTACAAAAATCTAAACCCTATTAAAATTTCAAGTAAAACAGCCATGAATTCTTGCTGGTCAGACGGTGTTTTAAGTTCGCATTAGTGCAAGATGACCATCGGGACAATCTCATACGTAAAATACTATCTGTTTCGCCGAAGCGCGAAGGCGTTCGATGATTCGGTCTTAAAAAACCAACAATGCAGATTCTAATGAAATTTTTTATTCAGCACCCCCTTTAAAGTTTTCTCAACAGATTTTTATCATATGCCTGCAATCCGTTTTTAAAAATTCAGGCGATGGAGGTTTTGAGCCCTGCCACACATTCGGGATATAATTAGGATTAGGGCACAACACTATTCCTCAGGTGAAAACTTGACGAAACTTTCGTCATGGAAATTTTTCCAAGTCTCAGTATGAAGTTTATCCCTGTTCATCTTGCTGAAGGTGTTTAGGTGCTGTTTGCAGCTTGCAAGCGTTCTTAAGTTGAAAACGGTCTTTGTCAGGCTTGTCGAAAACGCATGTGGAACGAAAGATTTAACAAAGGCACATGACTTTTCTTATAATTCAAAAGTTTCCGGCATTGTACTGTCAAACCGGATTTGCGCTCGGGTAACGTGGCCATTTCGAGAACAGCATTTCTTTCGTAAATGTTGTTTGTTCTGGTGCATAGTTTGTATTCGTACGGTCGTACCACGATACTTATTAAAGATTAGTGCAAGTTGTGAGAACTTTAGGTATAGCGGTGGTCTCCCACTTTACAAAAAATCATATACATTTTCTCAGCTATATGGAACGTTTTTATGGTCACACTTAAGTACTATTATTTTACAAACTACATTTAATCTATTTTGCATTTAGGCGCGCGAGCGAAGCGAACATTTCTTTTATCTAGCGGACGAGCGAAGCGAAACCGCGTTTCTAATTCATGACGTTTGAGTTTCTGTAAATGAGAGTTCCATGACCTTTGGGTCGCTGAGTGACCTTTTGTTCGCTACGTTACATCTTTAAATATCCTATTCTAATAGTCAAAACCCTCTATATGAAATTAGGGCTGAGTAGATCGACGCGCATGACAGTCAAAAATGGTCACGGATTATTTTTGGGTCGCTACGATAGCCTTATTAGTAAGAATTGAGTTCTTGCTAGGGAGAGACCTTAGCAAGAACAGTTTGATGATTCGAATTAAACGAAAAGGCTCAGAATTTCAAGGTTGCTGGGTGTTAAATGTTTCTTAAAATTTGTTCATAAATATTTCTAAATATTTCCAAAAGGTCACACAGCGACCCAAGGTCATGGAACTTTCCGTTGCAGAAACTCAAACGTCATCAATTAGAAACGCGGCTTTGCTTTGCTCGTCCGCTGGATAAAAGAAATGCTTGCTTCGCTCGCGTGCCTGAATGCAAAATAGACTAAATGTAGTTTGTAAATAGTACTTAAGTGTGACAATGAAAACGTTCCATATAGCTGAGAAAATGTAATATGTTTTTTTTGTAAAGTGGGAGACCACCACTATATCTAAAGTTCTCACAACTTGCACTAATCCTTAATAAGTATCGTGATACGAGTACAAACTATGCACCAGAACAAAAAACATTTACGAAAGAAATGCTGTTCTCACAACAGCGTCAAGAGGTAGTGCTTGAAAAGTTGTTTTGCTCAAATTTTGCTCGCTCTGAACTTTTTCAAATTTTTGGATCGCCCAAATTCCCTTCCTTTTCTGACCACTCAAAATCCCTTCCTTTAGTTTTCCCTCCCTCTTTTTGACCCTGGCCTTAAAATAAAGCTGGCGCTCGCGTATGCGGCAGCTCGCGTTTGCGAGCTGCTGCAGCATACGATCTGTCTGTTGCAGTGTTATAGCCTCCATTGTAACTCTGCGTGAATAAATTACCGTACTTTGCACAGAATGTTCTGTCTGTCACCTGATTAATGCATTGCTGAACGGCCTGCGCTGAAAGTCTGAATCTGAATCTGATTCTGAATGCTAAAAGTCTGAGTCTAAATACTAAAAGTCTGATTCTGATTCTTCTGATTCCTGGAACTCTGAATCGGAACACCAAACTCTGAATCTGAATAATAGGACACTAAGTATGGCAGGTGACGACCCGAGTCTCTAATAAAATTACAATGAAGTTGTGCTAATAATAATTAATAGCTCAATAATAGCTCAAGAAAATAGTTAATAGCTCGTATAGGTAACCCTAACCCTAATCTATAAGAGTAATTATAGACTAGTATTAGGCGGTGGGAACTGACACGGGGCGCGGGACAGAGACGTTACGAATACGTTTGTGCGGTACAAAATGTTGTTTTGCGTCCAGTGTGGGATGAGATATCCGGTAATTCCTGTTAATTTACCGAACGAGCCTGTGCCAGCATAATATACGCCTATGTAAATGTGCTTTTATGTTGCATACTGTGCATAGAGTAAGGAGCAGACACATATGCAGTAATTATACGTGCAATCAGTGATTTGCTAGCGGCATTTTTCATACATCATGTTGCTCGATGTTTCTAATTTTGCCCTTTAATTAGCTTTGCCGGCTATCCAAAAAATAATTGGTAAAATAAAATTAGTAATCCAGTAAAGCTGGTCTGAACTGATCAGTTTATACCAAATCTAGATATACTTGGTTTGACAGAAGTTTGTAATTACTGCACTTTGTCGCAGGTGTTCACGTATGGTAGCCATCACAAGTTTAACCACCAAATGAGTGTGCGGAAAAGACTAAAAATTCATTCATTCATCCATCAACTGAACCTGATTAACCGATTAGAATATCGCGCAATTTCACGCTGGACCGCAAGGCGCAAGGCATATTCCATCGGTTTGCCTGCTATAGTAGATGTGGAAGTACTGCGTTTGTTTTTTTTAACGCGCCTCGTCATTCTTTCTTTGCGGTACTTTGCGCAAACGGCGAACAACTATGTGAATTTTAAAATTTTGTACGTACTCTGTATTGCTGTTCACGAGCAGTTCCCACCGCCTAATAATTATGACTTTATATGAATAAATGGAACGTGTAAATGCTGCATATGTGTATTCCCCTTACTCTATGCTTTTTCGCTTGCTCTCAATGGTTTTTTTACTAGCTCTTTTGTGTTTCGGTTTTCATCAATAAAGACTTTTTCGACTACTCTATGCTTACTATGCAACATAACAGCACATTTATTTACATGGGCGTATATTACGCTGGCACCGGCTCGTTCGGTAAATTCAGAGGAATTACCGGATATCTCATCATACACCGGACGCAAAACAATATTTTCTACCGCACAAACGTATTCATAACGTCTCTGTCCCGCGCCCCGTGTTGTTGTTTACGAGCAGTTCCCACCGCCTAATACTAATCTATAATTACTCGTATAGATAACTTTTATCGCCAGAGCTAATAACTACTGTCTAAACACAACTGCAGTATAATTTTAATGAGAGACTCGGGTCGTCACCCGCCAGACTTAGTGTCTTATTACTGCATTCAGATTCAGAGTTTGGTGTTCAGATTCAGAGTTCCAGGAATCAGAATCAGACTTTTAGTATTCAGACTCAGACTTTTAGCATTCAGAATCAGATTCAAACTTTCAGCGCAGGCCTTGCTGAACATGTAAACCGAGTTGTTTTCGAAACAACTAGCGTAATAAAGCAATCGCAAAGTACGGCTGTGTTTTTGGATGCACACAATCGATTATGGGTGCGCACGTCATAATTTATGGCTGCGCTAGAACTTCGACTGACACTGGAACTGCTTACCTGCTCCATTATCGAACGTACTTGCCCCTAGGTCAAAGTACAGCGCCCGCTTCTTGATCCAATTTCTTCGTTTATCCCAGTCCAGAAGTAGGTATGATTTATCCACAACGTAATCCCCGTTTGGCTTTCCAGCGATTGGTTCTTTTGAGCAGAAGAACGGGTGCCTTGTTAAAAAAGCCAGAGGTTCTACATGCACTATAACTTCCCCACCATCGCATGATCGTTTATATCGAAAAAAGCTGAAGATATTTCTTGGAGGGCTGAAATCGGGTCTGCTGAAGTCAGTCGAAGTCGAATAGTTTATCCAAACTTCTGCCTCGCGCTTCTGTTCAGGAAAAACACTGCATGGGTCGATTTGCCATTCTTTAATTCGGCGCAGCCAAGAATCTTCGAGCTGACTGCTGTGGTAGCTAATGAAATTCAATCGGCACTGAGATGTTTGTGTATTTTGAAGCCTAGAGAAATTTTCCTACAAGTAGGCAAGCATGTTAGAAAACAACAGAGAAGCGTAACTTTTAGCTTAGGAACACACGATGATATCTATCAAAACGTTTAGCGACGAAACTTGTTTTCGCAGTTTCTGCAAACTCTTGCAGCGCTTTTGGGGGTCGGCCAAGTTGAATTTGGCCTCTGCCTTCCGTTTCGCTATTTTCAATCTTCCCTTTACTTTTGCCATTGCCGCCGCGAAAACCTTATCGTAGTACTTAGTCTTCCCAAAAACCGGTTTGAAATCAGCTTTACCGTTGCCCGTTGGTAATAACTATTGCATGATCGGCTATCGTCAAAAACTTTACTGCTTCTTGACTACATTGGCACTTTCGCAGATTTCTTATTGACCCTTATTCGGTAGAAAATAGAACTGGCTGCTCCCATGTAGTCAAACGGAACTGCGTTTGCTGTTCGCATGCTGACTATCGCAAAAAGGCCAATGTCAAAACGCCGGCCGAATTTCCTGCCGACCGAATTTCCGGTGTTCAAAACACAGGCAGAATTTTTTCAACATTTTCAACTTTTAGAAAAAAATTACCTGCCTCGTAGTATACTTGCCACGCGGTGTATAACAAAACCTGGGGTCAATACACTTACAGTTACACAAGTATCTTCATCGGCACGATTTTAGTGTTGCTGGACAGCGTGCATAAGAACTCGCGGAAGAGAATGCAGATGCCGCGCAAAAAAAGGCAAATAAGATGTTACAAATTTGGGAGAACACCAACTTAAAGCGATCCATGCAACAGTAAACGGTTAACACATTATTTGCCATTTTGGGTGTATTCGTTTTAGAAGAAACTTCTATCTGTGTCCAATAACTGATATGCAGATCCATTGCGTCAACAACTGATAAGCATATACGTCTCAAAAACATTCTGATTATACATGTATATGACATCAGTTAGAATCAATCTTAGAATCAAGAATCAAATAAAATCACAGAATCAAATCGCAGCGGCGGTTGCGCTACCTTGCGTGTCGGCGGCTGTGACGTCATACTATTATCGTGACTTTCGCAACCGGAGGCGTTACCGCTTCTACTTCCGTAACGGACACAGATTCTGTTATTCCATTGGTCCAGAAATTAGAGGAACTTCGCTACGCTCCGGTCGATCATAGTTTAGCCGCATCAGGTAAAAAGCGACATTTATGAAACCTACCATTAAAACTTTCCAAAAAACTTTATATAAATCCGAATTCTTAAGATGCTGTTAGAGATAATAGTTCCGTTCATGAATAAACGATGATATCATCGCACTTTTCGTGGTTACAGGTTATGCCGGCAGAGCACACAAGGTTCAGAAATGGTCGCGTCAGTACTAATATTTAATTGTCGTCGTATAATAAAATAAAGATATCGTTTTATCACTTTACATTTTCGAGTCGTGCCTCATTAATATAACTGGAGCTGAATGTCGACGGCACTGGTACAATAGCAGTAAGCAAACAATGTTCTACACATCCTTTCTGTTAGGATTTATATTACGATTACTCGTTGTGTATGTGTAACCTAATATCTGATCATATGCGCCCGGTACACTGATCCCTAAATGATGATACATACGGGCTAAGTCCTGTGTAAGTGAGTGTGTTTACCGCACCCTGTGTGGTACTTAAAGCCGTGTCAACAGCATTGATTACTTGAACATCGTGTATCAGTCTAATGAACAATACGACGGGAAGTGTGTTGGTTCGTTACAGGATACGTGTAGTCAGTACGTTATCCGATATATAGGGGGAAAAATTGGTCCAGCCGAACCATTCTCCTTTATTACTGCCGTCAGTCGGCTGGAGTTTTACGTTGTGGCTAAACATGGTGTTATGTACCGCGCCTGATTTAGCCGCATGTACTGCCGTAACGTCACACTCAAGCCGGGTGACGGCAGCAGTGCCGTGACTTAGTTCGACTGACACGGTTTTCCCCCCTATATTCTAACACTTTCTCACGAGGAGAAAGCACTTTTAAGCCTTATAGTTCACGGCAAAGGCAACTTTTGTGATGCCAATTTCAAAACGCTGGCCGAATTTTTGTGTGGTGAAAACGCCGACCGAATTTCCTGTTGGCCGAATTTTTCTGTGGTCAAAACGCCGGCAGAATTTTTTCAACACTTTCAACTTCAAATAGAGCCATAATTCAATTATTAAAAGTATTTATACCTGGCACACGAGGTATTACACGCACTGATATAAGTGCAGTATCTTTTTCGGCACGCTTTTAGTGTTGCAATGAGAGCTTGCGTAGAAAACTCGGAAGAGAGCACACCGGACGCGCAAAAAAGACAAAGTGCCAAACAAGGTACTAATAATGCCGCGGCAATAACAACGAAGTATTAGCTAGTCTGATCCCTTTTTAATCGTACCTGAGAGCTGAGATGAGCAGAACTTTTGAGTCTATGCTAACACAGCTGACTTTCGTTAATTAGGAAATTTGTGTGCGCAGACGATCAAAGAATCAGTTTTCGTAGATGCATTTAACTGCAGACAATTAAAATTCGTCTGGCGTCATCGATGAATGGCATTGACTGCTATAACGTACCGGAACTATAGTGCAAATGTTAAACTCCTTCGATGATGTCCAATGCTTCCGACAGTTTTTCGAGCCGGACATTTAGTCGGACCAATATTTTTGCCCGTACAAAATGCCCAGCGTCTGGACCAGTATCTTTGTCCAGACACTTTGGTCGGGCCGTTACTAGCCATTGGGTAGTCTCGAGAGAGCGAAAAACTTTGGGTGTGGAAAATTGTCGGCTGACGTTTTTTTGGCCCACGGTTTACACATACGGTTTGTTCGGTTGAACGACCAAAACGTCCGCCGGACGTCTTCGTGGTCCAGACGTTTTGGTCGGGTACAATCAACCGTAGGTGGTCGCGGTACCCAACAGCTGTGGTCGATTAACCCTGAAAATATTGTAATTACTAGTGTTAAGGCCAACCAAAGTGGATTTTAATGGTTATTCGTGGAGTTAAAAAGAGGATAGGCAAGACTGTACAATTACCCTGCAATTAAGTACAGGCGAAAGGCGTGGCTAGAGTGGTCACGTGCAAAGCAGTAGCAGCTCCATGGCGTTTTACAAGGTAGCTGAAAATTGGTACGTAGTAGATACCGGCTGACTACACACCATGGCTACCAGTTTGGAATACGGTTTTGCCAGTAGCGAAATTTAAATTCAGGGAGCAGGCGTACATGTTATTGTACGTGCCCTGACTAAAGTGTCCATGATGCGAAAGCCCTCATAAGCCTGAGGTCGCATCGAAAACGCAAAAAAATTTAAGTGGGCAAAATTTACGGCGGAAGTTTTTTTTCCAGGACGGTTTGTTCGTTTAACGACCAAAGCGTCCGCCGGACGTCTAGGTAGTCCGGACGTTTTTGTCGGTAGCAAGCGCGCTTCGCCGGCTTGCTGCTGAAGTCCTTTCCCCAGTTCTTCGACAATTGCAATTGCTGAAGGTCCCCGCGGGCCGAGCGTTTCAAAGGCGACTGGAGCGAATAGATAACGGCCCGCTGGGTAAGAATAAATTCAAGATTTTTTATCCTCGGCTTGCACGGCGGCCACTTCCGCTGTGGTCAAAGGGCTTTAAAATGTGACGGTGCAACCGTGTCCACACATGTCCCATCCCATGGAAGACAAAGTTCCCATTTCCACGTAAATGTATTGCAGCCGTCCAGACGGCGTTCCGTAGTGTGAGAGATTCCGCTCGGCTCAAATTTTTCGGGCACGCCGGCAGGCACACATCCTCGGCAAATGATGCTGTTTAGTCCTCCGTGGCGCGAGTGCCCTCCGGTGGAGAAAGCACACGACAGTCCGTAACCATCCACGGGCTTCAGACATTTCACACAGTCGTGTGGTTCGAAGATGGGGCGCCGAGGCATAAACCAACAACGCTTATCATCAGTTCATCGTCACCCAGTACGTTGCCAAATTGGGCGGACGGTAGGGCGTTCAACCAGATACCGCCTTCTTGTCTGGACTGGGCAAGGAAGCGCGCTGTATTAACCTCGTCACCTCGAAACGCCTCAAGCAGGACGGAGTGGGAAACATTGCATAATGGCAAATCACATGCCTTTTGGGACTTGCAGAATGCTATTTCTGGATTTCTAAGCTGAAGTGCTTTTAATTTCCATAACTCCATTGCGCCGGCCACAACCGTGACCGACCAAGTCGTCGCATAAAATCTCGTCGCGGGACACTTCGTCGGCCGCATTTGGTCGCCTGGACATTTAGTTTCTGGACAAATCGTTGCTAGTCAATTTGGCCGGGGGACATTTATTCGCGAGACATCCGGTAACATGGACACATCGCAGTCAGACAGTTCGTCGGCAGGACAGTTGGATAGTCAATTATTTTTTAAGAAAAACTTAATTTTCAGTTGAAAAGCGCCGTCGTTTGTCTTCAAAAAAATTTTATTAAGACTAGTGTGTAAGACTAAACATTCCCGTATAATTTTTAATTTTTCAACCGTAGTACCACCGTTTTCAGTAAATTATACCCTGACTCGGTTGCTTTTAACTTGCTAATTTGTACATACCTAGAACCTTTCTTGTAATAGACTGATGAGCATACTGTATAAGCGAGTTGCAGCTCAGTATCTGTATATCTAAATTCAGATTTTTTAATTTATTGCTGACTGATTACGTGGTATTAAATAACAAAATATATTACAGTAAGATCAACCTCGTTTTCACACTTTAACGGGCAAAAATAAAGCAGCTATAACAAACAAGCGAGACCCTGTTTGGTTACTTATCCCGTTTGGCTGTCTCCAGCTTTGAAGATATTCTCTGTTTTGAGCCTATTTACAGTAGAAATAACAGCACGGACAATGGTCTCCCTCACTTTCTTTTCCCCGAATAATGAAGTCGTTCCAGTTCCCATCACACGTTTTGGTTATGTGTTATGGGAGCTGGACCGAACCAGTCTCTGTTGCACATTGACACAGATACAATGGACGCCAAAATTGTCTTACACTTATGTAATCACA